TGTGAAGTAGGTGTCCCTGTACCAAACATATGGGCTGTTTTCCTGGAAATTGACCCTTTCTGATTCTAATAGATTTGTATTGGGAAAGCATGTCAATCTTCCATGCTCCCCAGGAGTCTTTTATGAGTCCAGTACAATTCCTATGAGTAATATTCATACTGTAAGTACTTAATGATCGACATTGCTTCCTGGTACAGTAGCAGGTGTTGGTGAGCTTTTCCTGTAAATACTTCAGTCTGTTGCATTTACTCAGCTTTGCCCAGTGCAGAGTGGAAGTGGAGGCAGTCCACACGCAAATGGACATGCTGTGAGCCAATAGAATGTTGTTTGTGTACCAACTGGGATTTGAAACATTCTCATCCTCTCCACAACCAGTTATATACTTAAGACATTAAAAAAGTCAGGCTCCAATCAGAATAGATTCTGTTAGCTAATTTGGTTTGCCACCTTTTATGTATGCATGTGTTGGTTTTTTTTTTTTTTTAAATAGCCTATGGCCGATATAGTCTTTTGGATTTGACATCAGAATCTATTTGCTGACTTCTTAACCTGAAGGAAGTTACTCAATGGGTCAAAACCCTAGTTCTCTGAATGAGAGAATGTGTGAGTGCCCAGGATTGTGAGGTCTCACAATGTCAGGTAAAATAGCATTTTGTTATTATCGTACATGCTGTGCTTTGCCCAAATCTCTTCAACCTTCTGACAGTCTTTTGACATCTAAAATAACATTTTGCATCAGTCTCTTCAAGAGGCTAAGGGTAGAACTACTAGGAAGAGGTACATTTGATTTGACTTTAAATCAAAAGGTAACAAATTTCTTAGGGACAGATTGGTCATTAAAGTCCAGAAACAAAATAATAATATTTGACTATTCTGGAATGTATTGTCATATGATCAACCTGCTATGAATGTTTTCCCTGTGCTTTTCACGTTTATGGCCACATATTGGCAGGAACTCACTGTGGAAGGGGACACTGGTCATATATGTAGGACACTTAATTTTCAACTGCCTTTTTGACTCTTGTGAATCTTGGAGAGTATTACCTAAGTAAAGGCAAGAAAGACGGAAATGTCTGTCCGCTGTTGGCCGATGTTTTAGAAAGTGACTAGGAGTATTTTAATTGAGTTTTTCAGTGTGTTCATTGGATTTTCTAGGGAATTCTTATGCTTTTATTTCCTACCTTACTATCCCAAGTATACTAGCTTAAATCTAAATATAAAAAAGCAAAGTGGAGAAAGAAAGCAAGAATCCTGGGATGTAAGAAGAAACAGTGAAATAGAAACAGAAGACTTGCTCTGGAGATTTGAAAATTTAAGCTTTTAAATGAGCTCATAATTCTTAAATTAGAGTGTAATAAAAAAACAGACACATTAGAGCCCTCATTTGGTTAAATCTGTAAGAGAAATTGTGCTTATGGTATAGGTTGGTGTTTTTAGAGACAGCAGCTGAGTTAAATCAATAGATTTGAAGCTAGAGAACTGGAGAAAGAGCAGAAAGGATCAAGAGGGAGAAAAGGAGTGGGGGAAAGGAGTGGACATTGGGTGACTGTATGTTGGCTCTATCAGGCTGGAATGCCACATTATGAAGGAGTGGAACAGCATTGAGCCGACAGAATAATAGTGGCCAGTATGTTAATGCCAAGAGTGAACAGCCCAAAACATCAACAGTTTAATGGTTGCATGAAATTGATCTATAAAAAAAATAGGTGGTCCTCCCATGGGGAGCACAGTGGGGTGGGTGGAAGGGAGAGATCTAAGAGTCTCAGAGGCCCACCGGAAGGTCATACTTCCAGCTCAGCCTGCCCTTTTCTTAGGAGCACTTGACTGTTAGCTTGGCACGCCATCACCCACTAGTCACAGGTACGTATCTGGCCCATGAGTCCTACTGTGCTCAATGGATAAGACCAGCCATACAGTCCAGAATAGCAAGCAGAGAGTGATGGTCATGACTTACTGGGTTTTCCAGGTTCAGATAGACTTGCTTATGGTCAGAGCACTTGGTTTGCTAATGGAGTGACTCAGGGATGGGGAGGACTGGGTGCGGTAGGATGGGAAAGGGGGAAACGGTGGGTCCATTTTGTTAAACTGTCTTCATGAAAAATCCCACTTACTACTTCTTAGAAAATTCAGTCTTAATGAAGTCCCCAAATTGTAACAGTTGACACAAAATACACTGTTAAACCGTATTCTTAATAACTGTAGAAAAATAGACTTGTTTGATAGAGACGTTCTAATAAAAGGTCTTTCAGGAACATTCTCTTGAAAGATCCAGAGCTCACATTACAAAAAAAAAAAAACAAACAAGATCTGGTTCCAGTTCTGGTCCAACTACATGGACACCAAAATACTGCAAAGCCCAGAATGACCTCCCAGCCGGTATCCTTTCAAGGACACAGAACTGGTGGGTGACCCAGGTGCTGCCAAGACTCTTCTCCAGTTGTGCTAAAGGGCAGGTGGGAAGCCAGCAGGCCCCACCCTGCTCTCCCAGCCCACTGAGGGGAGTGTCTGCCCATGAAACCCTGCAGTAATGGATTTGAAAAGGTCCAATGAGTTCAAGAGCAAAAACAGTGGGCATTCCCCAAGGCCCACTCCACGTCGTTTTGTGCTACCCCCACCCTGCCCTGCAACCCTAGTGGGCACCCTAAGCCAAGGGGCCTCCTGGGACCAGAGCGAGGTTAGCTTAGGCTCGCCCACAGCCACACAGAAAGTGCATTCGCTCCTTCCTCCCCCACCACCTCCTGCACAGAGTGAAGGGAGTCAAGCGAAGACTCAACAGATAATCCATGCCCCCAACAAATGCTGGCAGGCAGGAAAGGCTGCAGCCAATAGCTTGTTTCCACATAGTCAGAGGTGGTCTCCTGATGCAGGGTCTCTGCTGCTGTAGACGAGAGACCCTGGTGTTCATGGCAGTCACTCTCCTCATCTCTGGGGTATCCTTCTTAGTAGATAAAGTCCCCCAAACAACAGCAAAAGGCCTGTGAAGTCTGGTCAGGGACAGGAGGGAAACACAGAGGAACGGCTCTAGTTTGAGCTCTTTGACCTGCATGGTACAAAGTCTCAAACAGCACGCAGCTGTAGGAGCTGAAAATAAACTTGGATCCAGTCAATGAATATTTATGATGGACAACTGTGTTAAAGAACAAACAGTCTATAAATGCAAGATGAACGGGGAAGATCTGTTACAGTGCAAAATCTCCACCTGCCCCTGAGGTTTTCTCTAACATTCACTTTGCTTTTCTTACATTTTTTCCTATTTTGAAATTTGGATTTTTAGTACCCTTTCACTCCCTTCCTCCCTCCCTCCCACCTTCCCTCTCCCTCTTTTTTTTCCTCTCTGTAGATAAAAATGAATGAAGGCTACCTTTTTTTTTGTTGTTTGTTTTCTCTTGATGGAGAGATACTTTGGATTTGATATTTAAATAGTGATGCACTCTAGAAATAGTTTTTGGACTCTCACTAAGACTATGGATCTAATCTTTGAATACTGAAGTCTGGTCACTTCATAATTTTCAAAGAAGAAAAAGAACAACAACAAAAAAATCCCATTGCAAGAAATGCCAATGTAGAATCCCTTAGGCCAGGCAAGCTCTCATTCTTAGAGTGTCAGATGGAGTCTAAAGTGTGAGAGATCAACAATTCTGATATGGGTACCTACTGCCTGTTCCCCACATTCCTGGCTTTATACTCAAACCAACTTCTGCTAACATGTCTCATTTTAACACTCAGTAGTTGCTCATAGGTGAGTGGGACAGCTGGAAAGTTAATGGTTTGGCAGAAAACCTAACTATTGAAGAGACACACATGGTCCAAGGAGGAACTGACTTCCACAGGGCCAGAGCTTATGAGACAAGCATTGAAGTATGGTTGGTAGTGTACTAGAGAACTCTGTATCTGATATTCTCTCCCATGCAGCAAAGCCCTTGTTTATCCCTAAACAAACAATACCGGTTTGTAAGCAAGTCACAGTGTGTGAGCGTTCCGGTGGTCTGGTGGTCAGTCTTGCCATCTGCCCCTAGATCTATGGCTTATTAGATTGAACAAAAGGGTCAATGGGGAGATACAGAGGTGTCCGAACAGTTGCCAGTCTGGGACCCAGAAGAAAGGCCATGCAGTAAAAGGCCAGCAGTCAAAGGGAACAACGTAAGACAGAAAACACAGGTCTCAAAACAAATACCTACTGGACATTTTTTTCTTCTTATTTCTAAAGTTATGTATATATATATATATATATATATTTCTAAAACTACATTAATGATACACCTATGTACATTATTTAGAAGTTCTGTTCTATTGTACTTTTTGTACATGCTGGACTTTGATTACGAATGGTCAAAAGAAAGTCATTACATAAGGCATATCTATGTACAGGTGGTTTGTCTTCAGCTCACCTGGGTCCTAGTTCTGCCATGCCCGCATGGGCAAGCACCTGCTCTGTAATAGATGAGGTACATTGGGCTCTGTACAACTGAGGGTGGCAACCTAGCCTCACTGCTGATAAATAGGCACTAGAGTCCTTCCTTGTCAAAGCCAGGTAAAATCTTCTGACACCTCTTTTGAGTGGATCTGTATCGTTTAACTCCATGCAGGTAAGAAGCTGGAAGCTCATAGAGTTGAGTGTCAGTGTGTGTGTGTGTGTGTGTGTGTGTGTGTGTGTGTGTGTGTGTGTGTGTGACCTGGCCTGGGTTATAAACCAGAGTGCATTTCCTCTTAGCCAAATCCGGGTCTACCTGTCAATCTAGACAACCGAAAGGGGGCAGGTAGAAATTTTACACCTCCAAGATTTGTGTCCTAGTCATGTTGAAATTAAATTAGGTAAATGAAGGTCAAAGTAATAGAGAGAGAGAGAAGCCGAGGGCTGGAGACGAGGAGTCGCTGTGTGGGCGCGGCGTGGGGCGGAGGGGCAGGGGTCACCCATGGGGGGGCGGCGTGGGGTGGAGGGGCAGGGGTCTCTCGCGGGGGGGCGGCGTGGGGCGGAGGGGCAGGGTCCCCCGCGGGGCGGGCTACACTTTGGATTCATTCTCTAGGTTGGCCACGTCACCGTTCCTCTCCGTCTGCTCCTCGGGGCTCTCCTCCGCCTCCGTCTCCAGCTCCGCGTGCTGGTTGAGTTTGCTGGACACGGACCAGCTGAGGGGCAGCTCGGCCCTGCTGGCCAACTCGGCCAGCTCTTTGGCGCTGAGGGCGGGCGTGCTGGTCTCGTAGGTCTCGTGGAAGCTGTTGTAGTCGACCTCGTAGAAGCCGTCCTCCAGCGTGAGGACGGGCGTGAAGCGGTAACCCCACAGGATCTCACTGGTGATGTAGGAGCTCCGCGCCTGGCACGTCATCCCTGCCGAGAGAGGCCAGACTGAGCGCGGCCGGCCTGGGCAGGCCGCCTTCCCACCGGGCCTGCACTCCGCGCGTCCCGTCCCCCTCCCCGCCCCACCCTGGCCAGGGGATCCAGGATCCCCGGAGAGAGATCCCGGAGCTGGTGGGGCGCACGCACCGTGCCTGCCTCCCGGCTGCGGCTGCACCAGGAAGACCCCGAGCACGCGCACCTGCGAGCATGTGTACCTGTGCCTCCATCCGGTCTGCACCAGGAAGACCCCGAGCACGCGCACCTGCGAGCACGCGTACCTGTGCCTCCATCCGGGCTGCACCGGGAAGACACCGAGCATGCGCACCTGTGCCTCCGTCCGGTCTGCACCGGGAAGGCACCGAGCATGCGTACCTGTGCCTCCGTCCTGCTGCACCGGGAAGGCACCGAGCATGCGTACCTGTGCCTCCGTCCTGCTGCACCAGGAAGACACCGAGCATGCGTACCTGTGCCTCCATCCGGGCTGCACCGGGAAGGCACCGAGCATGCGTACCTGTGCCTCCGTCCGGTCTGCACCGGGAAGACACCGAGCATGCGTACCTGTGCCTCCGTCCGGTCTGCACCGGGAAGACACCGAGCATGCGTACCTGTGCCTCCGTCCTGCTGCACCAGGAGGCACCGAGCATGCTCACCGTGCCTCAGTCCGGGCTGGGCCGGGAGGGCACTGAGCACGCGCACCTGTGCCCACGTCCAATCCGTACAAGAACCCTAAGGTCATGTCTCAAGTCCCTGCAGCTTTAACTGCGTTTGCCTTGCTCTTTAGAGACTCTTGGCCACGAACCTGGGAAGTAATATTAAAACATTCTCTCTGATCTTAGGACATTCCTTTTAAACTAGTACAGTTAAAGTGTATTCGTTACTTGAACTCGTTCTTTGTTGTTGTTGTGGGGCTTGAACTCAGGCGTGGGAGCTGTCCCAGAGCTGTTTTTTGTTTATTTTTGCTCAAGGTTAGTGTTCTACCACTTTGAGCCACAGCTCCACTTCCGGGTTTGGGGTGGTTAATTGAAGATGAGAGCCTCACATACTTTCTTGTCTAGGCTGGCTTCGAACCATGGTCCTCAGAGATCTCAGCCTCCTGAGTTGCTAGGATTACAGGCGTGATCCACCAATGCCCGGCCTGAACTCATTCTTTTATTTGTGTGTGTGATTTTATCTGTGAACTTCACACCACCTACTCTGTCTTGTGACTGTAAAAAGCATGTGTACACTTTTCATGGGGTGCGACGTTCTGTGCGGGACATTTCACCGGATAACTGATAGTTTATGCTCCCAGAGTTTGTCACTTGTGTTTTGGCTTGGATAAAACTACTTTTTTATGTCAGAACTCTCCCCCCACCTTCTCTCCCTCACCTCCTTCCCTTTCTTCCCTCCCTCACCTCCTTCCCTTCCTTCCTTCCCTCCCTCCCTCCCTCTTTCCCTCCCTCTCTCCCTCCTTCCCTCTCTCCCTCCCTCCCTCCCTCCCTTCCTCCTTCCTTCCTTCCTTCCTTTTTCTCTCTAATTTTTGAACTAAAGGCTTCACACTTACTAGGCAGATACTCCACCACTTAAGCCACATCCTTAGTGCTTTGTGCTTTAATTATTTTTTTGATAGTTTCTATTAAAAATTTTTTTTTTGCCCTGGAAGTTCTTGAACCACAATCCTCCCAATCTCTACTTCTCAAGTATGTGGGATTACAGGGATGAGCCATTGTGCCCAGCTGGCAGCTTTTCTTGTGATACGTTGGGAGATATCTTGTTCTTTAACAATGGACAGCATGCTTACGGCTCTCAGGACACTCCTGTGGAGCTAGTACAGTTAAGTGTGTTCACACTGGGAATCTTTCCCAGTTGTCAAAATTTGGTATTGTTTATAGAGTCTGAGCCAAGTCCCCTGACTTAGTACATCCCCGTCAGTGCATACGTAATGCTGTTGGAAATGAGTCTCCTTTAGTCTAAATCCAGTTTTGGAGTACATATATTACCTAATCTCCACATTCCTCATCCCAGACCATCTATGGTGAAAAATGTGATCCAGGAGAGTCTGACATTGTAAAGAAGGATTCTTGCTATTCAAATGCGATGCAAACAGTTCCAAGAACAAATGTAAACTTGATCGGCAACAAAACCCCCACCACACATCACCTATTGCTCAGGATCACCATAAGGTATCCAAGTCCTCAGCCAGCTGGCTAGATTCCAGCAGAACAGGGGCATGTGTCAGTTTGTATTCACAGTTTGGGCCTATTATTATCCTGGGGTGATATGATATTCATATCACAAAGCTTAATCATGTATTTGCCTCTGCCTTTTAAAGACAAGGGAGAACAGAATAACAGCACCGAGTTCCTGTTTGGGCTAATCTCTGTTATCTCATCTTTCTGTTCCTCCTGGGAGTGAGGCGTGGCCTGTTCCAGCCTGGGTAGCTGGTGTGCTGAGGGATGCTCTACAAGTTCTTGGGAGAGCAGGAACAGCAGGTTCCCGGATTCTGGGCCAAAGCACTTGTCTGTCTAACTTTTGACATCACAGTCCTGGCGTACATGGTGTGTGTGGATCAGAGAGAAGGGGGATGGGATCATCTTCCCTAGATTGAGGATAAGTCATAGATGAGAAGAAATAAGACACGAGTGTCCAGTGCAATGTAGAGCAACTGACATCATCTTTTTTTTTAAATAATTAAAACATTGTTATTATTAAGGTGATGTACAGAGGGGTTCCCACTTCATAAGCCAGGTAATGAGTACATTTCTTTTTGGATAATGTTACCTCTTTCTTCGTTTTCCTCCCATTTTTCCCTCTAGTGCCTGCCTACAAATTGTATAGTTCATTTTTCACATAGTGTCTAGTGAGTACCACTGATGCATTTCTTTATCCTTTGTCCCTTTCTGTGCATCCCTACATTCCCCCCTCAAAAAAAGATAAACAAGAAGAAAAGTTTCCATTTCCTGGAGTTCATTTTGCTAAAAATTATTTCATATGATCAGAGACGTTGTGCCTTTGTGCCCCTCCCCTAAGAGTGTCCTTCATTCTCACTGTGTGTGAATGCCTAGACTAACATGTTCTTAATGGCATTATTTATTCTATTTTATTTTTTGCTGGTTCTGGGGCTTGAACTCTGGGCCTGGGCACTGTCCCTGAAAGTTTGTACACAAGGCTAGTGCTCTACCACTTGAGTCACAGTGCCACTTCCAGTGTTTTGTGGTTAATTGGAGAAAAGCATCTCACAGACTTTTCTGCTCAGGCTGGCTTTGAACCTTGATCCTCAGATCTCAGCCTCCTGAGTAGCTAGAATTACAGGAGTGAGCCAGTGCCAAGCTATGGCATCATTTATTAAACAGACTCTTAACCATTATCCTTATTACAGCTTTGATTTTTTTTCCCCCATGGACACCATAATAAAGGCCCAGGCCTGCCATTTCCTCCTCATCTTCTCTGTCCCCTGACCCACCCTGAGCACTTGTGAGTAACAAGCTGTCTTCTTAATGACACTCATTTCCTGTTCTGTTTCCTTCCTGGACCTCAAGCCTTGAACAAACGCACTGAGCAGTGGCCGCGGCGGGTTTTGTTCTGGGTGCCTCACATATGCAGCCTGCAGCTGTACCACATCCTTGCCAAGCCTGGTGTAAGGGCTTTCGTGTGGGTTCTCTGCCCTCCCCCCGCCCCCCCCCCCGAATGGTGCCGTCCGTGGGATTTCTCCGGGTTTGGGACATTTGCTTGGACAGGATTCTGTCTTCACCCACTCCTTTCTAGCTCTGCTGCTTTACCAAGATTTTCATGGCTAAACTTGTGTCTAGTTTGCTTTTTTACTTGACTACTTTTTGATCTCTTTCCTTAGATGGACATTTAGAGAAAAGCCCTCATTTTTGTCCCCCAGTCCTGAACGGTTGAACTCAGGGCCCGAGTGCTATCCCTAAGCTTGTTTTGTTCAAGACTCTTCTTTTTTTTTTATTTTTTTCTCAAGTGATCTACCACTTGAGCCACAACTCTACTTCTAGATTTTTGGTGGTTAATTGGAGAGAAGAGTCTCATGGACTTTCCTGCCCAGGCTGGCTTCAAACCCTGATCCACAGATCTCAGCCTCTTGAGTAGTTAGCATGACAGGCGTGGCTCCACATTTTTTTTTTAACCTAAATGTTTCATTGACTCTACGCTTCGATGTGCAGTCTTCCACTGTGAGGCTGGAACTCATATTTCACCTGGTGCCTTTCCAATGTAATTGTAACCTTTTATTAGCCGTCTGACTTGAGACCTACATATAACTCACTGATCCAGCACTCTTGCGAGAAGTTTGGATTTTGCAGAAGAGACATGAACACAGTTACTCACTAATGCAAAGGACTCATTGGCAAGAGAGTGTGACTGACTACTCAGGAGAAAGGGAATCAGGAGTTACTTGTGATGCCTGAGAATGAATGGCTTTCCTGGTTGCCAGGGACTAAGAGGCTTTCTGGGACAGATGACTTATAGTGCTAAAACAGCGACACCCATGGACAAATGCAGATGCTGGTTTTACAGATAAGGGGATGGGATCTAAAGCAGAGGGAAGACGTGGACTTCTGTTAAAAGAGAATGGACACCAACACTGACTTCGGTTATGAACACTTGTTCTTTTGAAATAGGAAGAAGGGGATGGACTGAGACAAGAAGGCTGCGCTTGATTGGATGATCTGGGTCATCCTTCATTGAGGTGATGTGTGGAGAGAGCAGGCTGTCCAGAGAAAAATGGTAACGTTCCAAGGCAGTGTGGAGGGCTAGGGTGAGATTGGCCGCTGTGGCAATGCTTTGCCACTTCTAGCGTGGATTTACCCCGCAGAGGTGAGCAGAGGTGAGGACTTCAGTGAGTATTTGGTATATTTCCCCTAACACAGTCCTTTCCATCCTAACTCCAACCCTGTTGGCATTCTAGTTTGGTGTTCTGAGCAAAAGAATCCACCGAATGATCTCCCTGTTCTCATTTTCCAATGTAATGCTCTTTTTCCTTATCAGGCTGTATGAGG